GTAGCCAGTACCAGGTTGAGCAGCGCTTTGCCTCTCGTTGGCAGACAGGGTTCTTTGGGTGAATCTGATAAAAGATATCGGATTCACATAAAGAACCTTGTCTGCCTAAACATCCCTCTGCTCTCTGATAATCCGGGTTCCCAGAATTGCTTGTTATGCCAAAAAAAACCCTGCAAAACATATTGGAGGGGACAGAGGAAAGAAGAACCCTAGGAAAATGATGAGGTAGAAAATCACTGATGATGAAGTTGTAAGGAAGGTTGAAAGTCAAACAAGAGCATATGTATGGGAACCAAGAATAGAGAGGATCCTGGAGAGGATGATTTTAAAAGTTCAGAAGATGGTAGGGAAAATAGATGGTGCTGTTTTGATTTAGCTAATAGCTTATTAATGACTTCATACTCAAGAGAGTATGCTGAACTTTAGCTTGTGTTGATCACTATAAAAGAAAGAGTTTAGGTATTGCTAATAAATTATACTGTTTAGAATTTGTAAAATAAATTGAAGATTGGAACAAGATACAGGTAATTTTTTAGAGGCAGTAGAATCAAGGATAGTTTCTAAACCCTCTTCATAGCTCCAGGGCATTGTCTCTGCTAAGGGAAAGAAAGGTTCTTTCGATACCAGTTAGCTGACTGAAGTGACGTGGTAATGTTCTAACACAGTGGTTCCCAACCTTTTTTTCCATTTATGGACTCCTAAAACATTTTGAATGGAGGTGTGAACCCATTTGAATTGTAAGTGTAGGTATTCCCATACCTTTGGTTGATAACAGCCATATTTTGTGGACCCTTAGACATAGTCTATAGACCCCCAGGAGTCCATGGGCCACAAGTTGAAAATCACTGTTCTATTAGACAAGACAGTTTTTGGGTTTCCACACAAATTAGTAGGTCAGAGTAAAGACTAAAAGAACCCAAGGCTTACCTTGACTTGCAGACTCTTAAGAAAACTATGAATTGTGAATAGATTTTTCTGTACAAGTTAAGCAGGTTTTTGGATATAAATGCAGGTTGTTGAAGCATCTTTAGCTTTGGATTATTTATGGTTTGACAGCAATTGTTTGTTTGCTTTTCTTGCAGCTTTGGGATGTAAGAAAAAAGCATTGTCAAAACACAATGTTTGGTCATACAAGTTCTGTCAATCATTGTAGATTTTCACCAGATGATAAATATGTGGCTAGTTGCTCAGCAGATGGAACAGTGAAGGTAAGCCTTGTTTTTAATTAATGTGTTTTTATGGATTAAATGGATGGAAGTTTCTGTTGCTTTATTATATAACCTTTTAATAATGCTTTGTATTCAGGTTTTTCAAACATTAATTCGTTACACCTTGGAGCATCTCAGTGGGGTAGCTAAGCATTATTTCCATTTTAAAAATGAGAAGCCAAAATGTGAATAAGCCAGGTAACTTGCCTCAAGTCACAGAAGGATTTTGTATCATAACCAGAAATAAAACAGAGGTTGCCTTATTTCATCCTATCACTTGTCCATGAAACTTTGAGAATCTGATGTCAACGGAATGCTTCGTAAAATCATATTCCAAGTGGAAAAGAGATCTGATGACTTAATATAGTTTCAGTATGAGCCAGGAATGCCTTATTTATTTTCATTATATGCTTAAGTTCAATATAATTTTACTAGGTGTGCACTGATAAAGATTTTTTGGGCTGATACCAATGACCAATTATTGACCAGCCAAATCAGCTGATACTGGTCCGATTGCCAATATGCAGCCTGGCAGCATGGAGAGTAGCATCTGGGTGATAAGACTGTTGGAGGGGGAGGAGCGTAGGGAGAGCAAGGGACATTGCGGGGGGGCGGCAGATTAAGGCCCCGTGGTGAGGGAGAGAGTGGGGCTGGTACACGGGCAGGCACTGCCCAGCCAGGGTGGGGTGGGGAGCCAGCGGCTCATCCAAGTGGGGGGGCTGCCACTGCTGCATGCACCCCCAGGAGAGGCATGGGGAGCACGTGCCCCCCTGGATCTGTGCATGGGGCAAGGGTAGGCCACCTGCTGTGCGCTCTCACCTCATGCAGAAATCCATGGGGGCACATGCCTCCTCTGGGGGTGTGTGCAGTGGCGGGAGCCCCCCCTTCCTGCAACCCCTGGATGAGCCACCAGCTACATGCTGCACAACACCCCACCATGGCTGGGTAGCACCTACCGCCACCCCTACCCTAGTACCACTCCCACCCTCATCATGGGAGCCTCGATCTGCATCCCCCACATCTTTTCCCTCCCCCTTGCCCCAACAGACTTACCATCTGGACTCTGCTCTCCAAGCTGCCGTGCTGCACTCGTGGTCTTGTGCATGCTGCGGCTATGCGCATGCATGCAAGCATTTACTGGCAACATTATCGACTGCATCAGCCAAAAAAAGCCAATTCCCATTGATGTCAATTTTCCTTTTATCAGTGCCAATATGATATGTATCAATGTATGTCTAAATTTTACACAGCTAGGTGAGGTAGGGATGACTCTTTTGTTAATTTTTTTTAGTTAACTTTCCCTAATGAGTTATATTTTTTAAAGCGACTAAGAGACTTGCACCATATTAGTCACACTTCAAAAATTCTTATTTTTCTTTAAGAGTGTCTAAATTAGGAATGATGGAAAACCTGCTGCTGTGATAAAAATCAAAGTGGAAAAGGGTTCTACTTGCCTTTGAATGTATCAGTGAGATCAGAGGACAAGGCTTCTTTTTTTATCAGATCCTTCTTAGCTGTTGGGCTTGCACTGGCTACAGGCAGATATAACAACAGCTGATTGCTTTTCTTCCCCAAAGCAAATACCAGGTCTTCCTGATGGGAGCATCTTCCACCACAAGACAGTTCTTTTTTCATAATAGCTGTGGTTGGTGGGTACTTAAGGTGTTATCAGTGTTTCACCTTTCTCATAAGTCTGTTCCCTTTTTCTGCTGTGTATGACAGAATTCAGCTTTTCTCTTGTCCTTATTCCTGATAGAGACAGAATTCTTTGGTGCTTTTCTATTTTCTTATTTTTAAAGAATAAGCTATTTTAAATGATACTTTAAATGTACAAATTTGTTTAGAATGCTTGGGTTTTGAAAACCTGGCTGTAAATGTTTAGCTTGAACTTACTCCATGCAGGTCTCATTTCTGCAACTGTATTTGGGTATTTCTCAGTCCATTCTGAGTGAATAATCATGGTTCTGCTTCAGAACAATTATTTCAATACAGTTGGCTTAGAAAAATTAATCTAGTGTACTAGGCACAAATGTGGACTCTATATCAAGTGCATTCATGGTATCTTTTAAACACCAACTTTCATTCTAACAATTTTAAGAGATTTCACTTTGTTTTTGAATCCTTTCGTTAACAGTGAGACATCTGATAATCTGTAGTGTAGGATCTACTTGTAACCTAATCTGTTTTCCTCTTTTACTTTAGATTCTAGTACTAGAGAACAGCATACCTTTTCAAGTATTACTTGTTTGCTGAAGAAAGTCCATTTTCTACATTGTAACTTAAAAATAATGAGCATGTGTTTTGATTCCCTTAGGAAATGTAAAAACCTTGTCTTTCACTGTCGGAATTAAAAATCAACACAATAAACCTTTTTGGCCTGGAGTTACCTTGTCTAGCGAAAATTAGAGAATGCTTCTGCCCAAACCTGATGTAGCATATTTACCCAAACCCAAGACAACTTCAAATCTATGAAGTTCTCTGTATAGAATCTAATTATTGTGGGATCATTTTAAGGATGTAGACCAGTAGTGGAGGCAAGGAGCTAAAACTTCCCCTCCCTTGCTGCCTTTCCTTGCCTGCCTTGGCATACCCCCCACCACTGTGCCTGTCCCCCTGCTTACTTTCTGGGTGGCATTGGGTCTAGCTCCAGGACAGTCAGCAGCAGTGGTGGCCTAGCCCAACCAAGGAGAAGCAGCAATGGGGGCAACTTTCCAATCCCCTCCACTAGTGGCCAACATACTAAAATAAATTTAGCAAATATTTGGTAAAGGAAAATCTTTCAGAATTCTAACCAACTGGATATATCTGAGGATAAAGTGGAGAGTCACAATAGATGTATTTACCTTAGTTTCTAAAAATTAGTAATTGATGTCCTATAATTTTACTGTGCTCTTGGATGATTACCACTGAAACTACAAGATAGATGGCTCTAATTTTTCTGCCAAAACTTTGAAGTTCCAATATTGGACACAAAAAAGAAATACCAATATAACTATAACTTTAAACCTTATGGAATCTACTTTTTAATACACATTTATAGATTATGTGGATATGTAGTACAAAGATTTTAATTTGACAACAAGAAACTTTAAATTATTTTAGCTTAATACAAAATTTGCATACTGGTCCAGAGAAGGAAAATGTTGTGCTGCCTTTATTTTATAGTGTGTATGTAGAGAATTACAAAATAAACTATGAAAAGAAAATATCCTGTTTGTGGGCTCTAAAATGAGGAATTTAGGGGCTTTTTATTCTTTGAAAACATTTTTAGCGTACCCTTGAGGGAAAATTGCTTTGTGCAGTTTTAATAGTTAATAGATGAATGAAACCTGCAGTTAAATGCATTCCTCTCACATTCATAAAATGGATTCAAGTCCCAGCCCAAAGAAATTTTAAGTACTTCTGCTTTTATAATTTTGATCGCTGCTTTCTGAACTCTCCCAATTTGTAAATACTTTTCTGATGCAGAGAAGTCCAGAATTGGATATGCAGTTACAAGCTGCCTCCTCCCTTATGACGTATATTTACGTACATTGTATACTTATGGAAAAATTGAATAAGTGTCTTTTAATAAATCATTTTGTATGCATTTAAAACAAATTTATATCATCTCTGATTTGGGGAGTTTGATTTCATATATTTGTTCTTAAAGCTTTGGGACACAAGCTCAGGAAATGAACTGAAATGTATTAAGATAAAGGATTTCTTCAGAAATGCTGATGAGCTAGAAGTGGAAGTGTTACCCAAGTGTTGCTCCTGGTCAACAGATAGTGCTACAGTAATGGTGGCAGCCAAAAATAAACTTCTTGTAAGTATTTCCTAATATTCAGATTCAGTTTTTTCCTGTAGTCTCATTTTTTTCCTTTACTTTAATCTAGGGGTGCACCGATACATCAGTCGGATATCGGATGGACACTGATATAAAGAAAATTGATCGTATCAGAAATCGACCCGATGTGGCTGATTAATTTGGCTGGGCAGGGCTTGCCCCCCACACACTCCTTTCCTCCCTGCTCCTCTTCCACCACACCAGACTTACCAGCTGCACACAGCTCTCCAAGTTACCAGGCTGGTAACGGAAATTGGACTGGTATTAGCCAATATGCCTCCTTAAAAAATCAGCTATCAGTATCAGCCTCAAAAATCTCTATCGGTGCACCCCTACTTTATATTACACATTCTCCGTTACAAAAATATAAAATGTATGCTGGTAAGGGTATGTGAGCAGCTGGTTAACTTGGAAGGTGGTACACAATATGAAAAAGTTTGGGAATCTCTGCTCTAGTGCATCTCATTCTGGAACTTTGGACTTTGAGAAGCAGCTACTCTGATCTCTGGCTGAACTGAGAGCCCTAGGTGAAGCAGCTGCTTTGCAAGAACAGGTGGGAGACTTCAGCTGCCTTTTGACCTTTTGGACACACATTTGTTCACCCCCATCTCTTTTTCTGTAGCTCCTTTGAATAAGCTGTAGAAGAATAGCTGTATGCTTGGTTCTTTCTTTAGTGCTGAGGAAAATATGGAATAGCTGAAAATTATCTGCCATGTTTGACACCCCATTATTATTAGTTATAAAAGGACATATCTGGTATAGAAGGACACATACAGTAAAGTCTCTGCTTTCTGGCATTTAACTAACCGGAAATTCTATTAACTGGAATTGCCGGGTGGCTGGACGGATGTGGCGGGGTGGGGGACAGGGGGAAGCTCACACGCAGCGGCAGCTGCCGCCACTCACCACCTTGCTGTGCTGCCACTTTGCAGACAGCCTTCTCCACATACCCTCCTCCCCGACTCTGTGCGCAGCTGCCACATCCTCCCCTCTGCCCCATTCTGTGTTACCTGAACACCCCTACCCCAGGGATGACAGATAACAGAGACTTTACTGTAACTGTTTAAATGAATGGTATCAAATTCATTAGGTCCTGGATGAGGAGCACAGGGCCAGTCTGCAAGCTGGATTAGGCTCACACACGATTTTCTGCCCCAAATCCAGTGTGCAGGCCAGGCAGGTTCCACAGCACTGCATGCAGCATGTGCCACGAGCTGGCCCCACTCACTGCAAGCAGCACGTGGGTCCATTAGAAACCTACAAGGCAGCATGGTGGGCTGGATGATGGGGCTTCATGGTCTTTGACACTCCTGCTTTAAATGGTTAGCACAGAAAAAAGATACAGCTGTGTTAGTGAGAAAAAGTTACAGGAGCGTTTTCAGGGGTGTTATTTATGGGGCTGTTAGAAATTATTATCTTTCATTCTTCATAATTGAGTCAGTAAATTGTTCAAAGGTTAATTCTGCCAGTCAGTGACTCTTGTTGTATGATATTATAACCTCAACTTTTCAATGTTTTACAACTGAGTTATTAAACTGATTGCATATTAGAAATTGGCATAGCATAAATTAGCTTTTTTGTTTGCTCAAGTTTTGACAAAGCATTCAGCTTTTGATTTAGCATGCAGAGTAAGATACTTTAGGGATTAGTTTACCAGATTTGATCATATCATTTAACTTTTCTCATTTCTGAAGTTCTTGATTATTCTGTATTTCAAAGCACCAAATATTAAGTTTATAAAATGTTTTCTACATGTGATGGAATCAATAATAAAGCGGTTTTTAAAACTAACTTGTTTATCAATATGGGCAGATATGCACTTTTAAAAAAATACATTATTCCTTCTTATTTATATGGTGGCCAATTAGACTGCATTTTGAGTCAATGTGATACATTTTTAAAATCAGACTTTTTTAATAAAATTATTTTATTCAACAAAATGAATAAATATTCAGTGCATTAAGACTGTGCATTCAGTAGTTGCTGGAGATTAATTCAAGAAATTAAATCTTAGTCTTTAGTTAGCCAAGTTCATCATAATGTTAATACATCATACTTCTTGAAATTGTTTTCACAGCTTTTAGATGTTGAAACCAGTGATTTATTAGAAGAGGTTTTGAGTTACCAAAACGCAATCCAGTACTATGACTTTTGCCCCAGCAATCAACTGGTAGCAGTTGTCTTGTCACACTATTTTGTTGAGGTAAGTGATCATCTTTTGTTAAGATAATGCAAATAGCTCTCCTGTGCTATAAAATGAAAAAAATATGCTGTATCAATTATTTAGTTTTGGAGAATAAGAAATAAATCAACTATTTTTAAAAAATACACATACAGTGTGAATTCAGCTACTTTACTTTAAACTACTTGAAAGGTGGTTCCAAAGAGGATGAGACTGCTCTCAGTGGTGACAGATGAGAGAATGAGGAGCAATGATCTCAAGTTGCAGCAAGGGAGGTTTAAGTTGGATATTAGGAAAAACTTCCTCACTTTCTCCCAGCCAAGGTTTTGTCTACCTGGGTCTTAAAAACTTCCAAGGATGAAAGTCCCACAACCTCTCTGGGTAGCCTGTTGTTCCAGTGCTGTACTACCTCTTCATGAGACTGTTTTCCCTAATATCTAACCTAAACTACCATTGCTCCTTCTGTCATCTGCCACCCCTGAGAACAGTCTAGTTCCATCGACTTTGGAACCCCCCTTTCAGGTAGTTGAAGACTGTTACTAAATCGCCCCTTAGTCATCTCTTCTGCATACTAAATGAACCAAGTTCTCAGCCTCTCATAATCATAAGTCATGTGCCTCAGCCCTCTAACCATTTTGTGGCCTTCTGCTGGACTCTTTCCAATTTGTCCAGATCCTTTCTGTAGTGAGGGACCCAAATCTGGAGACCGTATTCCAGATATGACTTCACCAGTGTTGAATAGAGTGAAATAATCACTTCCCTCTGCTGGCAGTGTTACTGCTAATGCATCCAGCTCAGTATGCCATTAGCCTTCTTCACAGCAAGAGCACACTGTTGACTCATGTTTAGTGTATTGTTCACTGTAAGCTCCAGGTCCTTTTCTGCAGAGCTGTTGTTTAACCAGTCAGTCCTAAGCTGGTTCTGGTGCATGGAATTGTTCCATCCAAAATGCAAGACTTTGTACTTGTCTTTGTTGAAATTCATGAGATTCCTTTTGGTCCAATCCTATAATTTGTCTAGGTCTCTCTGGATTGTAACCCTAAACTCCAGCATATCTACTGCTACTCTACTTAGCTTGGTGTAATCTGTGAACTTGCTGAGGGTGCATTCCACCCCATGTTGAACAAAATCAGCCCCAGGACCAACTCTTGGTGTCCTCCACTTGGTACTGGCTGCTAACTAGACATAAGCCATTGATTCCTACCCTTAAGCCCGATGATCCAGCCAGTTTTTTTCTATCCACCTTACAGTCCATTCATCCAACCCATACTTCCTTAGCTTGCTTGTGAGAACGTTGTAGAAGACCATATCAAAAGTCTTGCTTAAGTCAAAGTATATTAATCCACTGCACCCCTGCCCCAGCATCCACAGAGCCATTCAACTTATAGAGGACAATCACGCTGGTCAGGCATGACTTGTCCTTGGTGAATCCAAGCTAGCTGTTCCTAATCACCTTCTCCTCCAAGTGCTTAGAAATGGTTTCTCTGAGGGCCTGCTGTAGGATTTTTCTAGGGACTGAAGTGAGGTTGACTGGTCTGTAGTTCCCTGGATCCTCCTTCCCTTACTTAAAGATGGACCCTTTTCCAAGCATCCAGGATCTCTCCTGATCGCCATGCGTTTTCAGAGATAATGGTCATTGGCTCTACAGTCACATCAACCAACTCCCTCCACACACTCTCAGGTGCATCCTGTCTGGCCCTATGGACTTGCATGCATCCAGCTTTTCTAAATACTCCCTAATCTCTTCTTTTGCCACTGCTCACCTCCTCCCCAGTAGTCTGATAGCTGACCTTGCCTGTGAAGACTGGGGTGAAAAAGACATTGATTACTACAGCCTTTTCTGTATCACCTGTCACTAAGTTGTCTCCCCAGTTCAGTAGGGGACCCACACTTTCCCTGATCCTTCTTGTGCAGCTGACATACTTGTAGAAACCCTTCTCATTACCCTTCATATCCCTTGCTAGCTGCAACTCCATTTGTGCTCTGGCCTTCCTGATTTCATCCCTGCATGTCTGAGCAGTACTCTTATATTCCTCCCTAGTAGTTTTCCACTACTTGTAAGCTTCCTTTTCATGTTTTAGCACATTTGAAGTGTTCCTTGCTAAGTCAAACTGCTCTTCTGCCATACTTGCTAGTCTTCCTTCACATTGAGATGATTCATTCCTGCACCCTCAGTAAAGTTTCTTTAAAGTACAGCCAGCTTTTCTGGACTTCTGTCCCCCTCAGACTGGCTTCCCAGGGGATCCTGCCCATCAGTTCCCTGAGTGAGTCAAATTCTGTTTTTCTGGAGTCCAGGGTCCTTATGGTGCTGCTCTCCTTTCTTTCTTTCCTCAAAATCCTGAACTCATTTATCTTGTGGTTGCTGCTTCCCAAGTTAACATCCACTACTGCATACCCCACCCATTCTTCCCCATTCGTGAGCAACAGGTCAAGAAGAGCATGGCCCCTAGTTGGCCTTTCCAACACTTGCACCCGGGAGTTGTTCCCAGCACTCTCCAAAAACTTCTTTTGCTCTGTTGTATTTCCCTCCCAGTGGATGTCATGGTGATTTGAAGCCCCCCATGAGAACCAGGGCCTGTGATCAGGAAACTTCTGCCAGCTGTTTGAAGAAAGGCTTCCTCCACCTCATTGTCTCGATCTGGTGGTCCGTAGCAGACACTCACCACAATGTCACCCTTGTTGCTCTCCCCTCTGACCCTAACCCAGAGACTTTCAGCAGGCCTATATCCAGTTTCTTACTGGATCTCTGAGCAATTAGGCAGCTCTTACTTAAAGAGCAACTCCTCCCACTCTTGTCCCCTTCCTGTTCTTCCTGGACAGTGTATACCCATCCATGACAGTACTCTAGTCAAAGCATAAAAGATTCTGTAATACATAAAACATTACATAAAAGATATGGAATATACAAGTATGCTACAGGATTTGATGATTCACACAAGTGAAAATGGCAGTCCACACTAGTCTCAACATATTTACTAGTATAATATTTTATGTAATAGATATTTTGGTCACCTATGTATGGATGTAAATGAACACTATGGATTAATTTAGTTACAAGCTGAAAACCTTGAGATTTTTAACTAATAAATCTTTGTAGTGAATATCGGCAACAAAATACAACCTTGAACTATATTTAGGATGAGGACTACAATAAAATACTAGAAGGAAACTCATTACATTCTTGGGCACTTACTGTATGTGCTTTGCGTTACAGATTTAGAATATTTGTGTGTTACAGCTGGACTTTTCCTCTCATTTTTGCTTTAGTTGTGGAATACTAAAACCAAGACAAAAGTAGCTGACTGCAGGGAACACATGAGTTGGGTTTACTGTGTGACATTTTCCCCTGATGGCTCTTTATTTCTGACATCTTCTGATGACCAGACGATAAGGGTAAGATGACATCTACTTCTTTCCTTTTATGAGGCGTGTAGCAAGTGTCTTACTTTTTTTTAAAGAATGTGTAAAACAGTTGTGTCAAGTTTAGAGCAAGGAAAGGCACTCCAGTCTTAAATATCTAAAATCCCAGAGTTGGAGTAATCATATGCAATAAAATGTACCATACAGAAGTTAGATGGGAATAATAATAATGGTAGTGGTAGGTCTTATGCATATTAATAGTGAATTATAATCCTATGTGTATAGTTAGCTTTCAAAAAAAATGAGATTTTGATAAATTGTTATAATTTTATTGTAAGCAGCAGTGATTATGCTGCACTAATTTTATGTAGAAGGCAGGGTAGAGATGTAACTTTATAGACTAAGTGAATTGGAGATGCATAAGCATCTGGTGAAGTACTCTGTTGTTCATGAAAACTTATGCATCTTTGATTCAGTTAGTCTGTCTCAGGGTGGGCAATTATTTTGGCTGGAGGGCTTCTTAACAAGTTTTGGTGAGCTATTGAGGGCTTCATGGGTAGCCCTGCCCCTTGACAGTTGCCCCACCCCTTGTTGCCATCTTGGGGGCAGAAGTCCCATTCCTAACCCCTGATCTTTGCCACCAGAAGTCCTTCCACTTGCTCCCTGGAAATACTCCCTTTGGGAGGGGAGGTTGCCATCTTAGAACCAGAAGAAAAAAATCATATACTAAAAGTCAAATACCTACTATAACATATTTTAATTTTACTACAAAAAATATTTTTGTCGTGATTTGTGTTTGCGTAGTATAGATAGAGGGGATTGCATAACTCAAAAATAAATTCTTAGTTTTTTATATTTTGGGGGGATGTATGGTGTGGTGGGGGTGGGGCTGTCGGGTTGGCGGGCTGTGAGAGGGTGTGGCTATTTGTGTAGGGGGCATAGGGTATGGTGGGGGATAGTGTATAGGTAGGGGTAGTGAGGGCAGGGTGTGTATGTGAGGGAGTGTGGGGGATATAGGGACTCCTGCATGCTCCCCCCTCTCCCCCCAAATGGTGCAGCAGCAAGTGGGGCATTCAGAGTAGAGGTGCCTGGTGGGCCATGGCTCTAGCCAGCGCTGCACATCACAGGGAGGGGCAAAGCCTCTCCTAGGCTGGCTGTATTGCTGGCACTCCCTGCCACTCACGCACAGCCCCTGCACTGGCAGAGCATGGGAGGGAAGCCCCATGTGCTAGAACCAGCTGCCTTCCCTGCCAGGGCTGCACAGCACAGGAGAGAAGCTTCAGGCACTGGAGCTGGCTGCTTCCCTTGCCAGGGCTGTGCTGCAGGGGAGGGAAGCCCCAGGCGCCTTCCCCTGTTGGGCAGGAAAGGCAGCCAGTTCCAGCAACTGACATTTCTGTCCTGTGCTGCGCAGCCGCGGCAGGAAAGGCAGCCAGTTCCAGTACTGTGGCTTGTATCCCATGCCATGTGAGCGCAGGGGCTGCATGTGAGTGGCAGGGAGCACCGGCAATACAGACTGGCCAGGGAGGCTGCATCTCTCACTGCAATGAGCAGTGCTAGCCAGAGCTGCGCCTCACTGGGTGCCTGTGCCCTGCCTGCTGCTGCTGCTGCCACCACCTGCCAGGGCTGCACACCATGAGGGAAGTGTGGGGGGGTCCCCATACCTCCCATCCTCCCTCACATCCACACACTGCCCACCCAAGCTCTGCATTGCTGCTGCCCCCTGGGCGTGGGCTCTGCACCGCCACCAGCCCCAGCCCCATGCTCCCACCCAGCTGCAGCCTACCCCACCACTGCTGCTTCCCTACCGGCTGCCCAGAGCCAGCCAGAGTCCAGGGAAATGAAGCAGGTCCCCGGGGGCTGCAGCCGCAGCAGTCCCACACAGAAGCTGCATGCTGGCTGGCCCCTTCTGCCCACAAGGGTGGGAGAGAGGCAGTAGGGTTTGTTTGGGGCTATGTGTATACGTGGGTGCCTTGCTTCCCCCCACTTCATGGGTGGAAGGACTGGGAGGGGCACAGTTTGTTGGTGTGTGCTATGGGCTGAATGAAAGTGCTTGGTGGGACGGATCCAGCCCAAAGGCTGTATTTTGCCTATCCCTGATCTATACATCTCTACCCTGCTTTCTGCCTGACTTCAGATTGTCACAGCTGATTTTATGTACTTGCATATTTACAGGTTATTACTTGCTTAGGTTACGTAACATCAGATCATTTCATGCTTTATTTTTTTTAATCCCATAAATTCCTGTTGTAAACCATAATGTTCTTGATAAGATGTAACCTTATGCCTCATATTATTTTTCCCTCGCTCTTCATAATCGGTGTTTTTGATGCGTTGAATTTGTGTTCTTGAAAATAGTTATGGTAATAACATGTTTAATGCTATAGCTGATGTTCTCATTTTTTTAATTCTAGGGTTTTTTAACTTTAAATTAGGACCTGGTGAAGTTTGTACCCATGGCTTTTTTAATAGAAGTGTAGAGGAGTACATTGACTGGGCAGGGTGTGACAGGAAATTCAGTATTGCACTTTGTTTATGGTGCTTACTATATGAACAGTAGAGTACTTCCCATTAAACTACTAAATGAAAATCACAGAAGTATTGAAGTTGTTCTCACTAATTTTAAGTTATACTTCATAGTGGCTTCTAAGTTTCAGCATGTTCTCGTTTTGACTAATGGTTTTATGTCTTTGTCCTCCTTCCACCTGTTGATACATTATTCTCTTCAACAGATTTGGGAGACAAGTAAAGTGTGCAAGCCTCCAGAAATTGCATTGAAAAGTGAACTAGATGTTGCATTCCAGGGCGATGAAGTGATGATTTTAGGAATTCTCAATCGTACACATCTACAAGTAAGTGTGTTTCTCTGTGTATTTCAGCTTGTAAACTCAGTAAGTTGTCTGGATTTTAGAGGGGAAAATCTGGACTCTGGACTTTCTGCACTACAGAGAGGTAAATTGTTACTGCATGTTGATTAGGTCTCTTTATTTTTTTTACTTGCAGCCAAGCTGCCTTAACCCTTTTTAATAAGGAGAAAAATGCATGTAAAAAGTATAGAAGCCAAAGAAGGTTAAAAATGTTGGCATGATGAGAAGTCATCCCTTATAAATTTGGGGCCAAATCAGTATTCAGAGATTGAGGACTAGAAATGTCCAGAGTGAATAAACATTGCTAGAGATGTGCTCAGTCAGAAGTGGTATCACTGTTTAATTAGTACCTTTGTCTTATTGCCATCACTACAGCCTAAAATAACAGCCTTTGTTTTTATAGTTTTTGATCTTTTTAAATGTCATGCGGTTTTTTTAAGTAAGTTAAAAAGATATGATGTTGTAAGTAGATTAAAATGATCTGATGACCTTATTTTTCCAGATGATTTTAGGAATCAAAATAGGATGGATTTATTTTAACAGTACACTTGTTCCATATCTATTGTCTGTATTAAAATAATACATTAACCAAAGAGAGATTTTTGTAGTAGTGCAGTTTTACCAGGGGTGGCAGTAATGGGAGAACCAGTGTTAACAGGTGAATGGGGGTGGGGGGCAGTCTTGCAAGATGCTGACCATATTCAATACCAGTTGCCTTTGCAGAGAGGTGAGGTTCTACAGGTAATCACAGGATCAAGCCCATATTCAGTTGGATGAGGAAAGTCACTAGAAGCCCTCAGTGCTTAAACCATAATATATCACAACATGTATTCTGTTTCATTAAAAATGTTTTGTTTTAATATTTATCATAGCTGTTAAATTGTCTGTATTTGTTTTTAGACTGTGCATGACAAAATAAGATATGGTGACTAGTGAGGATCTGGGTTTTCTGTTTTCCGCAGTAAAACGTGGATTTTCCCTGTGGAAGTGGGAAACCATGGGTTTCCCCTTGCAGGCTGGCAGAGTTCCAGCCTGCAAGGGCTTCCTGGGGCTGTGGAGAGCAGGGTGAGGACGATGGGAGCCAGGGGACACATGTGCGTGCGCATGCATGCACATGGCCGGCAGTATAGTCGGACAGTATGGTGGGAACAGCCCCGGCAGCTAGATACTAGTGGTAAGTCTATGGGACAGAGGAGGGTTGGAGAGCCAGGGCTTGGGAACTGTCTGGGGGGGTCTGTGCATTGGAGGGAGCAGGGTGTGCACACATGCACACATTGTGTGTGGAAGGGGTATGAGGTGTGTGTGTGTGTCCATGATAGCACGGATGCCTGCTGGCACTGGGGGAGGGTGTCCAGGTGCTGGGGCTGTGGCGGGGCAGGGAGGGTTTGAGGCAGCGCTCAGTGCCACTGGCGAGCACAGCTCTGCGTGGTTGCCAGCAGGGCCTGCCTAGAGGTGCCTGCCCCTCCAGCAGGGGAAGGGGGCAGAGGGGTCCTTCAGGGGCAGTGGGGAACTGCGTGGCCAAGCTGATGGTGCTGGGGGGCTGATGCCCATGCTCTCAGGGGCAGGGCAGCTGGGAGATGCTGTTGGGGTGGGGGGGAAGTGGGTGTGGCCAAGGCATCTGGCATGGCATGGGAACCCCAGCCTGGGATAGGGTGGTGCCACAGGAATCCCCTCCTCTCTCCAGCGTGCACTGGGGCCAAACATGCTGCACTACTGCTGGCATGAGCCACAGCTGCAGCCACTGCCACCACCCCGACTGCTACTGGGCGGGCAGGGGGTGCCTGTCCTTGGTGGTCATAGCAGTGTGGCTGGCACGGGGCCTCTGGTGGCAGTGGCAACAAACCTTTCCGCCCTGCTCCACTCTCCTGCACTGGGTCCTGCCCACTGGGCTGTAGAGGCAGCTCCTGCCTGGTGCCGGTTCAGCCAGGCTGCAGCCCTTTGCTGCATTCTGCTGTCGGCACAGAAATGAGGGGGGCATGTGCCCCTTATGGCCCCCCACGCATCACCAATGGTATTACCTATGCCCACATGCCTCCTTCTGCCCCTGAGAGCATGAGCACTGACTACCAGCTTGGGAGTGAGGGGCAATAGCATGGGCATGGGCATGGACAGAGGCAGGGCACTGGCATGTCAGGGCTGCTCAGCACCACAAAGTAGTGGAGGGGATAGCTACAGCTAGACCCATATCCTGGTGAGCGAGGTGGGCAGGGGAGCTCTCATTTTCCATGATAAAATCAAATGCCAAAATATATAGGTATTGAGAATTTATTTTATTATAATAATCATGATTGAGGCACTGCTTTAAAATTTCTTTAAAACTAAATATATCAATAAAACATTTTGTTCAACTGATACCTCTCTATATAGTGGTATTTCATTTCAATCACAGAAAAACACAGATTTTGTGGGGTTTTAATCTGGGAATTTGGGGAGGTTAATTAGAGAATTTTGGATTTTTTTTAACAGAGGGGAAAAAAACAGGATCCCTGGGGATTAGACATCTTAACACACCTCTCTGCTTCTAAATCTTTATGGCAAAGTAAGGAGAGACTTTCTGTGAGGTGTCAGGAAAGCCTTAGCAAAGAGTGGCGATGTTGATTTTAAATAAGCTGATAGGTTGCACTTATCTTGTTTAAGAAAACATCAAATATTTACCTACTGGTGAGGCAAATTTATTCCAACTGTTTGGACACTTAGAGGAAAAGGCCTTTTTTTTCAACATAATTTTTTGCCTTTGGCCATTTGAACATTGTGTTTTACAAGAGCTGAATACATAAGCATGTTTGTTTACCATGGAGAAAAAAAGGTTGGTTAAGATGCTTAAAAATAACGTTCCTAGTCTTGTTCATCTGCTTTATTCTCCTACCTCTCTGCTAATTACTATCTCTTATATAAGTTTGTCTTTTGTATTGTCCGGATTGTGTGTTAGTTGCATTAGAATGTTTTGCTCAAGGCTTTTATCTGGTTTTAATTTGAAAGATCTTAACAGGAGTGTAAACCTAAGAGAACTTCTTTCTTAGCTAAGAGTAACTTTAACGCTCTTTTTAACTACTAGAATAGCGTTTTTTTAAAAACTCTCTGGGTTGTAATGAGAACAGAGTGAGGTTCTGTTTTTAATTAAACTGTCTTTAGATATTGCTTGTCTCTTCATGCTTGGTTCTTGCTTATAAAGGGCAGGGGGACAGAGCAATGGAACTGAAGTAATCTAGCATCATAGCCTCAACTTTTAGAAACATTTTCGGGTAACTTTCAAATTTAGGCATCAGGTTGAATGGTTTGGAGTGCTGATTATTGAGTGTAGAGCAGAGATATTAAACCCATCAGAGCCCATGGGCCAGATCCAGCATGCAGGGTTAGTCCAGTGCAGGCACCTCATGCTGCATGGATCCCAAACAGACCCTGCATGCCTCTTGCAGTACACACCACATGCAGTATGCAGGGCCAGGGCCAGTGCTTACTGCATGCAACATGTAGGCCGTTTCGGGGCCTGCAGCATGCAGGTCCAGTCCAAGAGCCACAAGCAGCACCTCAAGCTAGATGATCAGGCCAGGTATTTGACAGCCCTGCTGTAGAGTGTTTCTTCTCTAAATTGCAAGTTAAATTATGGCCAAAATTCAGATGGACTAGAGTTCTTGCTATCGATCTTTTCCTAATCCTCCGACCACAGAGTTTGGAAGAGACTTGGGGAGTTTAAATGGGTATGTGTAACAAAATGGGGTTGGCTTCTTTTTCCTTCTGCTGGTTTTCCCCTTTTCATTGCCTATGACTATGGCTAGTTGGATTTTTGTGTGCCTTCTGACCCTGTTTAAATTCTTGAATTTTGCCTGCCCCTGTTCAAAGAAAAAAAAAAAAAAAAAAGCCTTTAGCTTGACTGCCCTGTCTCATAACACAAGACCTGCATGTTTATGATGTTTTGGGTACAACCCAGTCGCATGTTCTGCAGGGGCAAATTATCAAGGGATTTTTTTTTCACCTTTCTCGCAGCATCATATAAGCACAGTTCAGTAAGCAATAGGATTTTAAAATGTTTAGTAGAAACAGTGAGACTTTTTTCTTTTTTTAAGGTTGCCACATCTTGCAGAAGTGTCTAGTGGGGATAAAAGGGCTACATTCCAGAGGTTCAAAATTACCAGAATTTTGCTGGCTTACCTTGTTTCATAAAGAAGCAGGATCTGGACTGTCTGTAGAATGTAGTCTCCTTTAATAATACTTTTACCTTCCTGTGCTCTGGATGAGTGGGAGTGGGTGAGAGGATTCAGAAGTAAGCAGAATTTTAGGGGGGTGTAAAAGATGGTCCATCCTGAATTATTGGTTGTGTAGTTGAAAACCTGAGATTCCACACTGGAGCTGATTTGCCTGATATATTGGAGTCCAGGGTGGGAGCATACCCCTTCCTCTCCCCAGCGTTAAATGAATAAATCTGCAGTCCATTGCTTAATTTGTCCCATGTGTTAATTAGTTGTTTGCCTGCATGTCATTTAAGCAATAGCTGGTAGAAGAATACACGGGTTCTTAATTTCTCTGTGGGTACCTGGTCTCATAACACTTAAAAATAGCAGTTCAGTTTTGCAGCAGCCTGTAGTCTGCCCTCACTCAAAGACAACTTGTCATTCAACTCTGGTTGTGGGTTTCTAAGCTCTTCTAATAGTTTTTATAAAAAAATGGCTTAAGTCAGTTATCGCAAGGAGATTAACCAAGATAATCAGAAACCTTGTTGATACGGATCTAGGAAGACACCAATTCATGTATTACTGGTATTAGTCTGTACCATTTTTGGACTACTCTACCTTTAGTAAAGGAATACAATCTCCAGCACAATCAATAGCAATACATACATAAAAAAGTAAAAGATGTCATTTTCTACTTGGTGCACATATTTACCTTTGCATGTCCAAGGGAGGTCCCTGATACCTTCACTAATGTTTTTAAGAAATAATTTTAAAGGAATGTTTATATGTGTTTGTAAATCATTAGTTGCATACCAAAAAACACTTTCCATCATAGTTATACAAAAATCATAGTTGCAAAATCCTGCAGAAGCAAGTTGTAGGTGAAAATCTACTCTAAAATCCGTGTATCCATAGATGAATATACCTCTTTTTATTCGTTCTTGGTTGGCAAAATACTGTTTCTGTGGCTCTACTTGTCAAGTGTTGTTGCTACATTTTTCAAGAGCTTTAAAACTCATCCAATAATTAACATTTATTCTTTCTGAAGAGCAAGTGCCTGGTGCTGGGTACATAGATTTTAAACCTTGATTCTGTGTTGGAACAACAGATTTGAACTCACAGTACCTATGTTTAAATATGCTTTTCTATTATAAATATATGCCTAATCCATAAAGCCAGAAGTAAGCTTTCGTTATCAAAATGACTGAATAAAGACAATGACTAGATCATGCAAGTTTAAAGTACTAAAGAAATTGTTTTACAAAAATAAATTTTAACAAAATGTGTCCAATGCAGACCAAAGCTTTGAATGCTAAAAATGCTGGTAGGGTGGAGATTGCTCATACCATAGATCAAGATGCTCACTTTTTTGAGACTAGGATGTACAAAGTTGTTATACATTTTAATAACCTTTTCTGTGTTGCAGCTAATTAATGGAAACACAGGCCATACTGTCAGTCTGACTGATGTCGAGGAATCTATTTCCTGCTGTTGCCTGAGTGAAGATCTTCAATTTGCAGCATTTGGACAGGAGAATGGAACTGTAAAGGTACTATTCTCTCAGTTTCAGAACACTACTGAGTAAATCCCTTAATAGATGTTTCTCATTCTTTTTGCTTTAAGATCTGGTTGATGTGGGAAAAATGTATTTTCTGTATGCAGTTGTAGAGAAGAGAATGAAAGTTAATCAGATGGTTTTTTTTTTTAAACAGTACATCATACTGTTTTTTTCAGTGCTCAAAGAAATCTTTATTCTAAAGCTCTTTATGTGGTAGGGCAACTCTTCCATTATCCCCCCACCCACATAAAAGGTCTTCATAAAGTCCTTGTGCACTTTCAAACTTCAATAACTTAGGTTGTAGGTATGATAAAAACAATCTGTAAGCAGCATTTAAAAGCAAACTTATTAAAGTTTTAGGGCAACTAGAGTACACAATGCTAGACTTCAACATAACCACCATCCATCATGATACAGTGCTCAATCCAATCTTCCAACTCCTTGAAAACATTTTCCAGTTGTTCTTGAGTTACTGCATGGAGCTACAACTTATTTAAGAATAAGTTCATTATCACTTATGAAGTCTAGCATTGTGTACTCTAGTTGTCCTAAAACTTTAATAAATTTGCTTTTAAATGCCTTTTACAGATTGTTTCTATCATACCTACAACCTAAGTTATTAAAGTTTAAAAGTGCACAGTACGCACACACCCACACCCCCTCAGTTATTCTTTGATGTGGAATAAACAGTGGAAGGAACTGTAAGAAAGGAAAGATTCTCTTGAATTGTCGCAGAATTTTTTCAGGATTGCATGCACAAATACAGACAGAAGAATTATTGTCTAGGCTGAAGAACTGCAGAGAAGGGCCTGAGGGTTACAGTGGGTCATAAGCTGAATATGAGTAGAGACCTACCTAAATTGCAGTGGAAGTTCACTGCACAGTGATGCCTTTAATCTTGCTCTTTTCACCATGGCCTTCCTCCCTTCCCCCATGCCACTGAATGGCCGAGGGACAAAAAACACAGCATTAATTGCCTTTCAGCCAGTCAGCGGGGGGAGGGGGGACTGCTCACGGCAAAAAGAACAAGATTAAAGGCGCTGCTGTGCTGTGAACTTCTACCACAATTTTGGTAGGGCTCTAAATATGAGTTAACATATTGCAAAAAAAAAAAAAAAAAAAAAGCCAACAGCCTAGTGGGTTGTATTAATTGGGGTGTCACTTGCTAATCAAGGGAAGCAATTCCTTTGCCCTTTTTGGCACTGGTGAGGCCTCGTCTGGAGTACACTGTCCAACTTGAAGCTTCACCTTTCAAGAAAAATGTGGACAGATTGGAAAGAGTCCACCAGAGAGCGACCAAAATGATTAGAGGTCTGGAAAACATGATTTATGAAGAAATGCTGAAAGACCTAGGATAATTTAGTCTGGAGAGAAAAAGACTGAGGGGAGATTTGATGGTAATAGTTTTCAAATACCTACATGGCATAAAGGTGATAGAGATTTTTTTTTCTCTATAAATGTTGGGGACAGGATTAGGGACAGAATCTCTATCCCTGGAAATTTTCAAAAGCAAGTTAGACATGTAAGTGGGATGATTTAGTCAGGGACAATCCTGACTTGGTCAGAGGGCTGGAGTAAAAGACCTCCTGATGTCCCTTCCAATCCTGCTTTCGTGTGTTCCTAATTACAGGGCCTTTTGTTCATTCATGTTAAGAGAGTGAGTTAACCCACGTTAATAGTGGAAGGATTGGGGCCTCTTTGTCCCATTTCAAATGATGGAGACATCTACTTTAAATTTAAAAAATAAATATGTATTCTCTGCAGAGCATAACATTCACAGGCCGGTTAATTTCGTGTGCTGCAGTCATGGTAATGGAGCAGAAATGTGGGTAAAAGTGCATGTAGGTTGTTACACATGATTTATGCACAAAGGCCTCTGACAGATGATTAGACACTTTTTATTAGTGTAGGTTATCTTTTCAGTTTCCTGGAGGGTAAGGTACTTTTTATTATTTCCCATCTACTGTGAGTCACCACTTTTGTATAACTCTGTATTTTGTTGTCTTTACTTCACAGGTGTTCTTAAAAGCTTCTTTCGTTTTCATTTTTTTTTTTAAATTCTCCATCAGTGATTTTTCTGTGTGATTTTTCTTTTTTTATTGGAAAGGTTTTAGAGGTGTCAGGTGGGAGAGTTTTGAAATCTAGACGTGGACACAAGACCTCTGTACAACATTGCCTATTTACCTCTGATGGCCAGACCCTCATTTCAAGTGATGTTGATGATCCGATTATACAGGTTTGTAAAATACTGTGTATTGTTGTGTTGGAACACTACAGGGAAGTTTGTTACACTATAATGATTTAGGTTTCACAATACTCACCCTTTTCCATACTGACTATTCTTAGTCCCCAGGTCCATTTGGATGCAGCCTCTTTTTATTTTAGTGGTGTAAACTGGTATGGTCATTCCACTTAACCCCACTCCATCCTTGAAACTGCCGGGCTGCATGCAGATTTAATTAATGGCGTTATTAACAGGGTCTCTATCCTTGTTGCCGTGGAGCAACAAAAACAATATAATTTGTTTGATTTGTAGTTTTAAGAACTAAGTAAAATCTATAATTCAGATGTTCTAAATTTTTTTATTTGCCCAGTATGAAGTACTCATTTCATTACAGTCACTTAGGTGAACAGTTTCAACAATATTTTGAAAATAAAAACTTTTTAGACTTATCAATCAGTGCTACAGCAAAGTATTTAATTTAAAAGATAAGTAGTGGGTAGACAGTAGGGATAAATGAAATTGTTCATGCTTACCAAGGGCAGAAACAAAAAGAACCAAGTCAGCAGTTCCCTTGTATGAAGTAATGGGAAGAAACTTTTTAGTAAAATCAAAGGTATTGAAGTGGCTGTGTGGTTTAGAATTGTATTTTGTGTTTGCATAATTATGTTATCCCATTTTTAACATCAAAGATGGTAAAAACTATCTGAACAGATGTGGTTATTGTAAAGAAACAAGATTTTTTCCAAACATGGCACTTCAGCTTCTTTAGTTAACTTAAGGGTTTTGAACCTAATCCAAAGTTATCAACTCTGAAGCACCTATTTCATTCAATTCAAAATAAGTAATTGATATCAATGACACGTAAAGAAGAAAAGGATCTTCATATTTACTGTAGCAATATCTGGGCTCAAAATCATGCCTTTGAATATGAAATTTACAGTTGAATTATAAACAGAAAACTATACAAAGTTAGGAAACTTTAAAATAACATTTGATTAATTGTATTTGCTGAATATTAAAGAAAGCTGAGTTAGTGGAGAAAGTATAATGAATAACTTATTTATTGACATAAGCCATGTTTGTGTCCAAAATTTGAGTTTGCAATGACATCTTTCAAAAGCAATAATGACAGTTGGGTGTATATCCACTAGTGAAAAAAAAATTAAGCAGATGTTACTGGGAAAGGTTTTTGCCTTTTCATATCTTAAGGGTCACTGTCTGCCAGATTGGCTGTTAGCTTTAATTGAATTGTGTAGCATGCTTTTTCAGCTGACCATCATTTAGTGCTCTCCCATGCTTGCTTACTAAATACGTACAGATCTTCCATGGTTCATGCAGGATAAAAAGCAATGGATATTTTCTTCTAAAGAATGCTTGTTAATCATCATCCCTGTTAAATTATGTATGAAATGTGAAGAAAGAGCCTATTTATTGTCTTAGACACTTTTTGTGTTGGTAAGCAGGTGTGGAATTGGGAGTTGGAAGAATGCTTATTTCTAGAAGGTCACAATGAAACAATCAAGAATTTTAGGCTTTTGGAAAATTCACGTCTTCTTTCTTGGTCATTTGATGGAACAGTTAAGGTAAATAATGTTGGTGTGATAACAAGTTGAATGAAATACATTATTGCATCTTTAAATAGTAACAAAATACATGAACAAAGTTTGAGGCTCAGTGTTTAATTTTCAGAGAATTAAATTTAGATCTTGTCTGTGCCAAGTTTTTATTTCCAAGTGATTCCACTCTGTATCCATGCAAACCTTTGTGCAAACGTGGTGTATCAGTTACGTAGTGGCTTTCATGTGAGTAGCTGCGTTGGTGGCAAAAATTCCATTGTGTTTTTAAAAAGAAGAGCATCTGTTATTCCTAGAATGAAAGCGTCTTTAGCTAGTCCAAGAATTTTTTTAAGAATCTAAAGTACCAACAAAAAATAACTTGGCTGACTTTTAATTGCATGTTGTTTTCTTTGGCATTTAGTTTATTGTACATTTAATATATAATTTAGCAGTGAAAAACTACAGATTTTTGACAACTACAACATTTTTTAAATTTATTTTTTAATTACCATTCGAACTATTTTATCACATCTTAGAATTTAACATACCAGTAGAATACTCCACACATTAATTTTTGGATCTCGTTGATATTTATATTAGGTTTGGGTTTTTTTGAGATTGACTTGATTGAGAGTTGTAAAAATAGCTATATTATTTTATATCTCTTGTAGGTGTGGAATATTGTTTCTGGGAAAATAGAAGTCAACTTTGCTTGCCATAAAGATACTGTTCTCTCTTGTGCCGTCTCTCCTGATGCCACTAAGTTTTCATCTACCTCTGTTGATAAAACTGCCAAGGTTTGCTGTTACAGTGTTTTAAAATATACACAATGATGTCTGTATTCTCTGAAACGTGCATTGTAGGCTGCCTTTGTGAAGTAGCCAACAGTCACCCCAAATACCACAAACTTTTCAAATATTAAGTTATATATATATGAAGTGGTTACTTTTCTAACTCTACTAGACACCTCTTTTTTTCTTTTTAAACTGATCATGGATATACCTTCATACAGTCGTTGACTTACATTCCCATAAGATGCACACTTGTAAGTATACAAACTTCCTGTGCATAGTATTTTACATAATTCTGTGTATTGCTTTAAGTCTTCACACTAAAAAAGCTAGACAGTAGCTGACTGGAAAGCTTTACAGATGGAACTTCAAAAATGAATTCTATATTTAGGTACCAGCTTAAATTCCAAAAGTATTGAGTTCCAAGGTGTTGCCTTTTAAATTCAACTTGGAACAATGTCTAAGTACAGATTTACAAACTCAAGTTTAGGCTCCTGTTTGTGAAAGTGGTTATCTTCCATCCTTCCCACTTGCCCCATATCAGAATTACCATAGTAAAGGATCCAGATCTGCTAAGTATTTTACAAATCAACAATTTGTTTGAACATTTAAATGCTCTTTCGTGTTTTCAAAGAAAATTTATTGGCCTCCTTGTTAAAAGCACCTTCTTTGAGATTACGTCAGAGTAGGCACTTAATACATACTCTACTATCTTAAACCAAAAACAAACTCTGGAGTACATTTTCTGAGCTTATAAAAATATGTTTGACCTAACTCAGGATTGCTCTCATCTAGAATAACTTTATCAAGTGTCTGCCTAAAGTGTGTAACCCAAAAAGAGAGGAGTTCATACTTTTTCAAATACCTAGCAAATGTTCTGGGATTTAATCACTAAAGGAACAATATTTGTTAACAGTTGTATATGTGATGCTCAGAAAGGGTATGTGGTAATATGAAAGGTGCTGCATATTTCTAAATATTAATTCCTATGTTGATAAATATTTAAAGAACAGATAAAATGATAGCAGCTTTTCCATTAAATATTTTTTCCTTTGTTTTAAACATTTTATTTTTAGATATGGAGCTTCAAAAGTTCCTCCATTCTTCATGAGCTAAAGGGTCATGAAGCCTGCGTGCGATGTTGTACTTTTTCATTTGATAACAAATTATTGGCCACTGGAGATGACAAAAGGGAAATACGGGTACTTTCTTTCTTTTACTTATTGACATTTGTTTAATAACTCAAATGCTGGAGTCAAAAATGCCATGGGGCTGCTTAACCCAGTTCATGTGGCAATATTGAATTTGGGTAATTGCATTCTGGTCAGCTAAATTACCTGAGAAATTTTGGGGAAATTGCGAGGCAGAGGTAAATATATGGGTTCTTTTGCTATGAAGGCAGCTGTTTTGTGGGTGGTAAATATTCAACAAAACTGAAAGTCATTGAAACACAATACAATAACAAAATCTACTTTAAAAAAGGCAGAAGATTGGCATGAATTAGGGGATAAAAACTACAAAAAAATGAGAAAATATTCAAAATAGATATGTAAATATAGGCCAGTTGTTGCATTGTTGTTAGAAATTTTTGGTGAGGTAGGACCCTGAAATGCCCATTTTTGTAAAACTTCTTATGGTTTACCAACTAATAGATTTGGCTCATTTGGGGTTTTTTAAAGGAGTTTTCATAAACTTTGTTTTATATATTGAGCACCAAAAGGAAGAAAACAACATACCATGACACTTCTACACCAGCTCCCAAAAACGTGCATTTGTCGTGTAAATTCTGGATTTTGTTTTTGGTGGTGTTGATTTATCTCATATTTCCTGTAAGTTATGGGGTTCTAGTTCTATAATGAGCTGGCACTTTTTTTTACTGATTAGTCTGCCAGGAGTTGCTTGTATAATTAAATATACATTGAGTAAAAGTGAAAGATTTGGTTTAAAAATGACTTGTCTCAGTGGCTTTGTCACTGCAAGAATTGCACTTTATTGAAAAGTTGGGATTTCTCTCATATTGAAAAATAAATTCCAGTGTTCCTTACAACAATGACCCTTAGTATTTATTTATACTGCTAATAGTATGTCTGTCTTGTTTCCCCCAGATTTGGGATGTGTCAAGCGGTGAATTACTTCATCTCTGCTCCCCCGTCACTGTAGATGAAGGAGGTCCAACACATGATTACTGGGTGACAGACCTCTGTTTTTCTCCTGACAGTAAGATGCTTGTGTCTTCTGGAGGATATCTTAAGGTAAACCCAATGAAAGTGTTTTAATTTAAAATGCAGGATTAGAAGATATGCTGAGTGTTTTAGTTAACATGAAAGGTTTTGCAGAGTACAAGGCTGCCCTTGTGCCCTTCCAATTTTTGAATACATTTTAAATTCCAAATTTGATTATACATATGGAGCACAATATAGTTCTAAATTGTTTTCTTCCTTGTAGCTCCTTCCCTTTTATATCCAATTTTCTTTGTCACGTTTCTTTTTTTGTCATTTTTCTAAATTGCATCCCTGTCCAAATGCAGGTTTTCAGAAACCTGAGCAGAATCACCTTTTTTCATTGTTTCCTGTGTGTGCTAAATTTTGGACCACCTGCAAATCTATAAATCAGTGTATATAGTATTTAATAAACAAATAGTGCATTTGGGAGTATTTCTAACATTCTGATTGTGTATTAAAGTCAGGAAAACAAATACTAAATAAGTTAGTCAATAGCAGTTGTTTTCTTTATACTCCAAAGAGAAGTGCTGAATATCAAACGATTAGACTTTTGATTTAAGAGGAAACCGATTTTTATAACCTAAATATTCCTACTAACAGTTTAATAGGCTCTCCTGCAGATGTATGACTTCCTCTTAATCATAGGAGCCCCTTCCCTTCAATATAAACTTCAGTAGGAGCTGTGTGCTATACACATACCAAGACTGGACTTCTGGTTTATAAAATGTGACCATTTGCTACTAGCTTGCTTTCCGGAAGGAATATGAAAAATTACTTAATATAATGGTAGGGGGATGCTAATTGAAAAATACTGTATCCATTGAGGTAGGAACTAGAGCAAAGAATGGCCTGTTGAACCTGACTTATTTCATGGAGCCCAGGATGCTGCCTGGGAGTGGCTAGTGATTGTGTACACTTATGGAATAAAATGTCCTTTTAAGTAAAGGTTCTCTCAGATTGTTGCTGTTTACTGGTTGCTGTACGGTCTGCAAAAATAGGGTTTCTATGCTCTGTATCCCACTAAAGTAACTAAAGGGTTTCTTCTATGTAAATGATGAATCCTTTTGTTCATTGAAACTCTTAGTTTCAATTAAAAATAGATCTGTTCAATTTTAAATATGTTGCTTTTCAGTTTCTTTGCTCCTGTGGTTATGAAGGGGATCAATGGGTATGCCTGCTTAATCTGTTTTCTTCCATGTATTATTTTCATAGAATCAAAGAAAATTAGGGTTGGAAGGGACTTCAGGAGGTCATCTTGCCCAACCCCCTGCTCAAAGCAGGACCATCGTCAGCTATATTGTCCCAGCCAAGACTTTGTCTACCAGGGTCTTAAAAACCTCTAAGAATGGAGATTCCACAACCTCTCTGGGCAGCCTGCTCCAATGCTTTACTACCCTCCTAGTGAGAATGGTATTATCAGGGGGTAACAGGATGACCCAGCTGCCACTTAACTTCTGTTAATATTTTTGTGAACTAAGAGTTCTTATGCAATTCTGATAATGGAATAAGTGTTTTGTTCAAGGGAATGTATCAGTGCTAGAGAGAACAAAATCCTCCATCAGTTCAGTTTTTCTTCATCTGAAGGTCTTGTACCTATAATTTCTGTTTTTTGAATGCTTGCTATTATTCAAGAATGTCTCTTTTCATAAAAGCACAAGAAAAGAAAAATATTGGCAACTAGGCCTACTGTGTTATGCCTATATTCATAACTTAATCTAATTCTATTTCTGCTAATTACATATATACTGTTCTTTTATTATAGTGGTGGAATGCCGTTACTGGAGAATCCTTGCAAACATTCTACACAAATGGAACAAATCTCCAATCAATATATGTGTCCTCTAATTTCAAAATATTTGTGACTGTTGATAACCTTGGTATCCTTTATGTACTACAGATGATGGAATGAATCTATTAAATGTTTTGGATGTGACAGTTCATGCAACTGAATTGCATAGTTTTGAGCTGGAAACAAAATTCCACTAAATCTGTTTAACGTTCATTATGCTGTGAAGTGTTTTTCAATATTGCATTCATTAAATGAATTTGTATGGGTAATATTTATGTACATTCTCAAATGAGCATACATTTAATCTTGGTTTTTGATCAACATTATTACTGTTAATGGTTTGTCCTTGAATTTTGATTTGCACCTTAAAATATGCAACTTGTTACGCTGTATGTAAAATTATATTAAGATTTATTCAAGCAGGGTGAGATCATTAATAAAGAGCAGAAGGAGATATACTAGGACTAGAATACAGGAGAACTCCATTTTGTGCAGGTTATATAGCAAATGTTTTCAGGCTATGGGAACAGCTAACATGCAAAAAAAATGTTTTACTATGTATGCATGACTGCTTTAATGGATACAGAACAGAAAGAACTGGAGACTTGGTGTATATTGGAAAATGAAATTTTAACAAAGTTAGTACTGTTTCAGGACCATGACAATATTTGAGAGAAATCCAGTAAGGGATCTGTTTGTACAGCAGTGCTGCTCTGTGCTGCTGCACAAAACCATTGTTTTCCAGATCTGTGAAGATGCAGAGCATTGTAGAGGGTGGTGAGTGTGGTGTACATGGGGGAAAGATAACTAAGTGCACTTTTTTTCTCAAGAACCAGTACCTGTGTTGCAGGAGAGAGGTGGTGTACCCCTTTCTTACACAAAGTAAGGATACAAAGATTGGAAGTTAAGCTTCATGTAAAATAGGTATGAAGGTTTGTGCTGAAAAATATAGGAAGTAGTAAAATGTGAGTTACTTTGCATGACTATGAACTCTGTGCCATGATGATATTTTATCCTCTCCTGGTCTGGTTTGTTTACAGGAGATTCTCTGCACAGAAATCTCTTCTTCCCTCCACCAGCGAATGTCATTTTTAATGTATTTCTTGATCCAGTTATAAGGTATAATATTAGAGATTTTCTAGTCTAAATGTGACTTTCCTTAACGTAGACTTTGAGAATATTTAAATAACAAAATTTCTAAGCAAACACAAGTGAGCCTTGTTCTAGTCGAATGATTCTAAATCCGTTAGTTAGTTTTCTGCGTCTGGGTCACTTGCTCAGGCAAAAAGTAATTGTAATTTCTACAACTTGGTGATAATAGCAAAATATTTTTACTTTGAATGTTTAGCATATGTTTAACAAATGTTTGCACCAGTTGGTATTAAGTAATAAACTTCTCATTTTCAATAATTGTTCAGTTTGAATTTCAGAACGAGTTTTAAAATCATTCTTAATGTTTTTCTATGTTTTAGCAAATTTTTGTTTTTCCAATCTGTGGTTTTCTATAATTAAACCCCTGTGTTAAGGCAGTATTGAATACGGGTCAGATATAATTTTTAAAGTATTGCTGGCCAGACATGTGTTTTGTATATTACATATGTACATATAAAGCATTAAATAAAGACAATCCAGGCAGCTACAGCCTAATTTTGTAACCAATCTTATCTCTTGAGTTTGGTTTTGTAGTTGTTTTGTTTTTGTGGGGGAGGAAAATATGCTAAGATTGTCTCTTTGCATGAGCAATTGCATCTGAGAAAAGCAGTCAGGAGCTAAATAATTTCTCTTTGTGGGTTGCCATCCATACAGTTCAGCTTAACACTGCATCCCAAAAATGCTTTGGCAAGATAAGCAACAATAGAGGTTGAAATGAGGTAAAAAGCATCTTCTATATGGTACTGCAGCTGTGCTGGCCCCTGGCAAACCATGTTACTGGGCAAGGGCTAGAGTCCTGAACATGTCAAGAAATTCTAGGCTTCTCCAGATCCCCCAGAGCTTGTCTAATTTATGTTGCCAACAATAGCACCTTATGCAGCCCAGAATCCCAAGAGCTTAAAAGGTAGCCTTATTTCACCTTTACCTTCTGCAAACCTGGAATGGTATCTTATGGAAATTCAGCAAAGATTTCAGGAGAGTTTTAAATAGAACCACTTGGATAATGAGCTACAAAATGGATCTTTCATATTATAAGCTACAGCAGAAAATTCTCCCTTGCACGATTGCTAGTGAGACCATGCACAGAGATAGGAAGAACCTTGTATTGGATTTGTCAAAAGGGTGAGGGTGGGGAACAGCGTCTAGGAAGAGATGGGTATAAAGCTGTGGTTGATTTTAATTTTGAACTGGATCCTAACATGAATAGGGCCAGCATAGGAGATTGAAGGAGATGAGGATGTGGCTGTCCTTTTCTGTAAGTGTAGCATTCCGCATATTCCAGGACCTAGATAGTGGAGTTATAAACCAAGAATACGATTTGATACATATACAGAGATTAGGGTCTTTGGAGTCCAGGCAGTAATGCATTTGAACAGAGATGGTGAACAGCAGACTCGCGTCTACAGCTGATGCAAGTGAAGGGGAAACGGTGATGCCAGGATTGTAAATGGAGAGGCCAAGAAGAAGATGTAATTTGAAGAAAAAGAATAAGAGAAAACAAAATAAACTCTATCCTGCCTTATGCAATAATAATATCCTTAAAAATATAATTATATGTATGTATTTACACACACACACAACACACAACTAAGACAAAGTTTTATAGCAACATTTACTTTAGGAAAAAAATCCAGCATGGTCCTCAAGGTTAGCCATTTCCCTTGATGCTTAGATATACTCTAATTAAACACTTAAGGAACAAAGTTCAGCCAGAAGCCATTTATTAGTTACAGCCATTCTCTCTCATAATGTCAGATCAAGTCAAAACGCTTTTCTCTATAAATCAAATAATGATTTATGAATATCCCCAGTTGTTCCCAAGCCTTGTCCTCAGCCACTATACTCATCAATGATCATCAGCTTTTAGATGCAGCCTTATTGTAGGTCCACTTGCCACTTTCCCTGTCAGTTTCTGCAGAGGTTTTCGTATAGATGCTGCCCCCACTCACTTTCACATATTTGTTCTCTAATTCTTTACTAAGGAGGTTTTATCACTCCTTATTTCTTTGAGGAGAGTGAGCTAAATCAGCAGCATGGCAGATGGAATATAATATCCAAGCCCCCATAGCTCTCATCAGCTCTGGCTGCAGAGTTCAGCACTCCGCGCCCTAGTGGATAGCAGGCACAGAACACAGCACAGATGCCAAAACTAGGGAATGTAGGAAAAGGCCTTCTAGGGAGTCAGTCCTGAAGAACAAGCGACTACCTGTCTTGAAGTCCAGAAGGTACCTTTGTAGTAGAAATGAAACTAGTTGCTTTGAGTTTTGTTTCCTGTTTTGTTTCCTTGGTGCCCCTGAGTAGTGCACAACCAAAAAGCACAGCCTGCCCACACACAAGTCTCCATATGTGCCAAATTCAGAAATCAGATGGCGAAACTTCCCCAAGGTTACCACCTGCTGCCACTTTGGCAGCTCTGTCTCTGGCATGCTCGAGAGCACCGCTTTATTTCCAGATATTCCTTATTCCTGCTTTATCTGCACATCAAAGAGCAAATCACACAAAGGAACTCTCATGGACCCAGAGGAACAGGCATCCACCTTCAGCTTCTTCTGTGCAAAATGAAGTTTATTTTCTACCTATGGGGACTTTTACCATCTTTCATTTCCCCTCAGCCTGAAAATGGGTGCATGTGCCTGAAAGCTTACAGAAAAGTTCATGTTTTTGTGATTTCTTAGTTGGTCTAATAAAAGGTATCATCTCTGAACCAAGAGTTTTAGAGTTTTGCATTTAATTGCCAGATATGACATTTGTAGGATTGGAGGAGCTGGGCAGGGTCATGCATCTCAGCAGCACACTTGGAAGTGCTGAGGAAATGGTACCCATTAAGGCAGTGCTTCCCAAATTTTCCCTCAGCATGACTTATTTATTACCCCATTTCCTCAGCATGGCCTCTCACTCCCAACCTGCTCCCCAACTCTTGGTGCCCCTTCTCCCCACCCACAGCCCCCTGGCCCTGCTGGTGCCTCTCACTCCCAACGCACAAACTCCATTCCTCCCCAGGTGCTCAGGGCATGGCCCATAGCTCCATTCCTCCCCCCCACCCCCCCCCAGCAGTGCCCAAGTCTCAGCTGTCACCCACGGGAGGTGGTGGCTGCTGTGGCCGGAGCCTAGCTCCTACCTGCACCACCATCCCCTCCCCCATGGGTGGCACAACCAGAGCAGAGCCTGGGGGGTGGGAGGCAGGGAGGATACAGGCTGCCTGCTGCATGTTCAGGGCTTGTTGTCTGCTGGGGGCTCCCCATCCTGCTGCCCTCCCCCTGGGAGCTCCACAGCCCAGTGGGTGGACCCCAGTGCAGGTGGGAGCCCTGTGACACCATGGCTGCCAAGCTGAGGTGCCCCCTGCCCACCTGGCAGCAGCAAGGGCACAACTTTATGCTGCTGCTGCTGAACCTCACCTTGGCCGTGGTAGCACTCCCTACCCTGCCAGGTTCCCACTTATTGGGCAGAGGAGGCGGCTCCTGCCCAGAGCTGGTCTGGCCAGGCTGCAGCCCTACACCCTGCTGTGGGCACAGACATCTTGGGGCATGTAGCTCCCCCCCCCCCCCCCGGCCCCCTTTCCTTGGCGGGCCCCCCCCCCCCCCCGGCCCCCTTTCCTTGGCGGGCCCCCCCCCCCCCCCTTTTTTCCCTGTCCCCCCCCCCCCCGCTGCCCAGTCACATTGCCTTGGCCTGCCTGCCCCTCTCCACTATGTTGCCTGTGCTCCCCCACCCCCATAACATCACATATGCCCAGTCCTCCCCGTTCCCATAGACTTACCTGGAGGGAGCTGCTCTTCACAACTGCTTGGCTGCCACATGAATGTGGGTGTGTAAATGCATGTGGCACCCCCTGCCTTCCATTGCCCTCCCCTGCTCCCCCCCAGCCCCTTGCAGGATGGAACTCTATCAGCCTGCAAAAGTAGACTTATTTGTGGTTAAATGTGGTAACCCACATTTTCCCATGTTTTTCTCCTTTAAAGAAGAAATCCAAGATTTTCTTCTTTAAAGGAAAAAAATCCACATTTTTCTGCAGCAAATGGAAAACACAGATCCCTGTATATCACAAACCTATCTATCTACTGATGTTGCAACCCCATTTGGGGTTGTGACCCACAGTTTAGGAGCCACTGCTTTAAGGAAGAAGAGCTTGCTAACAATTTAGGCTAAGTACAGACAGTCAAAAAGCCTGAGGCTGAATCAATTCAATCTTCACAGGTTAGTCTAAGCTGCATAGAGTGGACCGAGAAGCAAGTGAACAGACATTCACTTTTGATTCTGGAAATGCAGCCACATATCTTTACTGTCTCAGGCTAGAAGCTGGGGGGCACTAGAACAAGCCTCCCTGCTTGGCTGGAGCAGACAGCTGGGGCCAAGGCTAGCCCACCCACCCTGAGGGGAGGTGCAAAGCATCCTGGGATGCTGGAAACTGTGAGCTAACTTGACTCTGGAGGGGATCTGGGACAGAAGGCCAGTAAACCAATTTCACCTAAACTGGTTTATCTTAAACCAGTCTCAACCGTTTTGAAAGCAGCTTATGTGCAACTGGACTTCTGGGCTATGGACAGACATTACACATAAACCAGTTTAAGTGATCAGAAACTGGTTTAAACCTGTAACAAAACAGAAGCTCAGTACACATAAACTAGTTTCAAATTTGCTGAAACTGGTTTAAGATAAACCTGGTTGAATGTAGTATCAGACTTAACTGATTTTGGGTCAAGCCAGTTTATGAAACTTCTGTCCCAGACCCCTTCCTGGTTCAAGTTAAATTACAGTCTCGCAGCATCCCAGCATGCTTTCCAGCCCTGGGCTGGGCTGTCTACTTTAGAGAGCAGGGCTGGCCCTGGCTTTCTGCTCCCTAGCTGGAGCAGTGAGGATTGGCTCACTGCCCCTGCCACCCAAACCCCAGGTGGGGTCTGGGGCCAGGGACAGGGCTTGAACGCACCTTCCCCCAAATACAGAGCTACCCTGCTCTGCTTTCTAAACTTACTGCAGGCTGCAACTGTGGACTACAAATCCCCGAGGCACCTGGAAGCAGGACAAGGAAGTGATGAGCAGCCCTGCAAAGTCCTGCTTCTGTGGTTGTGGACTGCAAATCCCAGAAACCTCGGAGGCAGCAGGAAGGGTAAGCGAATGCACAGCCCATTCTGTGTATCAGTTAATAGCTTTTCAGAGAAAGAACGATTCTAGGTCAAGCTTTTATGAATGCAATACCACTACCTTCCCACCTTCCCAGGCGGAGCAGGGCTGGGGCCTGGCCACACCCCTCTGCTTGAAGAGGGAGTGGTGAAAAACCTTGGAGCTTCGGTCCCTTCCCTTGGCAGCAGCTGGCAGGCTGGGCGCTATGCTCTAGCGCCCCCTGACGTCTGGCTTGAGCCACTGCAGGCATGTGGCTGCATTTCCTGAATCAAAAGTGAATGTGTGTTTATTTGCTTGTTAGTTCAATCCCTGCAGTTTCAACTAACCTGCAAAAACTGAATCAATTCAACCTTGGGCTTTTTCACCGCCTGTATTTAGCCCACAACTGGCCT